GATTGGCACAGGATAGAGCAGGGTTTAGGGCTGTTGTACATAAGGTCGCTATGAGTCGCAAACGACTCTACAGCACATAACAACAACAACAAATTGTCCTTCCTGAAAATGATTTCTTTGAACTTCTGTATAATTTAACTTTTTTCAACAAATAATATATGTATTAAAAAAAAGAAAGAAAAGAAAAGGGAGCCAGTTACTCTGTACCCACTGAGACAGCTGAGTTACCTACCCTCTGCCTGGTTTACAAACTGTGCCTTGAGTCCCCTGAAAGTATGAATCTTAAATATCCTTTGGTGACTTTTAGAAAACTGTAAATTTCAGGCAACATTAATAAACAAAAATTCCTATCATTGAAGAACAGTAAGGCAGACTAGAAAAAGGTAGAACATTTTTGCATTATCTTAGTTTTACCCTTCCTTAGACATTAATGTTAGGCAATCCTCTGAATCACCCCCAAAAAAATAATTGTAGCATTTGGCATACAATTTCATAGAACTTTCATAATCAGTAATTTTTTAAAAGTTCAACAAAGACCTAAACAAGAGCTAAGAACAAATATTGTCTGCTTTATACAGATCAAATGTTATCATTGACATGCACTTAGCACTTTTTGTCCTGTTTTGACCATCTTTTAATGATTTTTAATGGATTTGTTTTAGAAGAAATTTTTATTTACAGAAAAATTGCACAGGAAGGAAAGAATTCTCATATTCCTTCCCTCTCCTCCATACAAGGTTACCTCTGTTATTAACCTTTTGTATTAGTGTGGTATATTTATTAAAATTAATGAACTTATACAAGGTTCATAGCCATTAATTGTAGAGTTACTAGGAGTCATAGTTGCATAATGTCACGTGTCCACCACTAAACTGTCGGGTAATAATGTCACAACTCTGACAATCGCCTGTTCATTTTGCTGTCCTTTTGCTTGAACTCCAGGGAATCACTGACTGTTGACTATCTTTATTGTTTTGCTTTTCCCAGAATATCATCTAGTTGGAATTACACAGTACGTTGCCTTTTCAAATTGGCTTCTTCATTTAACAACATGCATTTAAAGTTTTTTTTGGTTTTTGTTTTGTTTTGTTTTGTTAGTGGCTTGAGCGATATTATTTAGTTGTTTCCAATTTGGAGCAATTCTGAATAAACATTCTTATACTAGCTTTAGTGTGAATATAACTTTTCAACTCAAATACCTAAGATTATGATAAGACAAGGTTTAGCTTTGAAAGAAACTGCCAGGTTGTCATCCAAAATGGCTATACCATTTTGCATTTCTACTAGCAATGAATGAGAATTCCTTTTGGTCCATATCGGCACTAGCATCAACTCTTGTTAGTGTTTTGAATTTTAGCTATTCTAATAAGTGTGTGGTGGTATCTTATTGTTTTAATTTGAACTTTCTTGATGGTATATTGAAATTTTTTTCTCACATGCATATTTGCTATTTGTGTGTCTTTCTTGGTGAGGCATTTATTCAGATCTTTTGCCCATTTTCAAAGTTTTTGCTGGTTTTCTTATTTTTGAGTTTTAGGAGTATTTTGTAGAGTTAAGTTTAAAATGTGTTTTAAAAATATTTTCTCCAAGTTTATGTTTTGTCTTTTAATTTTTCTAACAGTGTCTTTCAAAGCGCAAAAGTTTTTAATTTTAAGGAAATTAATCAACTTTATTTCCCCCATTAATTTTACCCTTGGTGTTGTATCTAAAAATTATCTATAAACCCAAAGTTACCTAGACTTTATGTTCTCTTCCAGAACTTTTATAGCTTTATTTTAAAGTTAGATCAGTAGCCCATTTTGAGTTCATTTTAGTGATGGAGGTAAAGGCAATGTGTAGATTATTTTTTTAGGGGAAGAGAAACATATAATGTTCATTAATTCTGGCACTACTTATTAAGAAATATAGTTCTTTTTCCTTTGAATCTTCTTGCTTATTTGCTAAAGATTGGCTGACTTTATGTGTGTGGGTCTATTTCTAGGCTCTATATTCTATCTCACTAATCTATTGTCTTTTTTTTTTCCAGTACCATACTGTCTTGATAGGAAGTCTTAAAGCCAGTAGGATCAGTCCTCTGACTTTCTTCTTCTTGAATATTGTCTGTTGTTGAGCTTTTAGCTTTCCATATAAACTTTATAAACAGTTTTTAAATGTCTACAAAATGGAATGCTGGATTTTTTATTGGGATTGACTCTAAATTGAGTTGGGGAAAATTTACATTTTAATTACAGTGCCACTATAATAATGGTTCTACTATAATAAAATTACCACAAAT